AAATACTGAGACTGCTTCATTATATGTATGTACACACTGACATATCTCAATACATTGTGACATCATGAAGAAGATAGTTTGATATCATTATTGTACAAATGAAAAGTGTTTCTGTTACTGACATTAAAATGTTTTTGAAATGAATGAAGGTGAATATTAAAAGCTTGTTTTGCTGAACGCTTCAGTTATTTAATGATTGATAAAGTAGTTCTGTCAGTCTGTCTGTCTGAGGCTGCTTCATGCTGACACAAACCAACAGCTATAACAAATATGAGGAAACTGAACCTCCTCCTGTTTCCTCAGAAGTGATCTGTGGCAGTCGGACTTCATTCCAGAGAGCTGCTTTATCAAACTCTGAACCTGATCCTTCTCTGCCTCCTTTCAGTCCAGTGACTGCTGTCTGTGTCCGGTGGGAAGCCCTTTACTTATTTCAGCTTTTAAAGGTCCAGTGCGTAGGTCGATAAAAACGTCTCATTCTAAGGTAACGAACACACAACCATTCTTATTTTCAGCTGATTAAACACTAATGAAAACAAACCTATGGATATTATATTTCTGACAATAGATCCTCCTCAGTGTTACACATCAATAAAGTGTTTCTGATTTACATCCCATAACTTACTGATTTTACCCCAAAAAGGATCTTTTCTGAAACATAACCAAGTGCTCTTGTTGCCTCAACCAAATAGTGTGTTTGCTTTATTGTAAGCCACAGTTTTATGTTATAAATGAACAGTGAGGGTCCCCAGCTTTTACACAATACTGGAGGCTAACTTGCATATGTTTTGCATAATTAGCTAAATGAACCAGAAGTGGATCTGTTTATTCTAAAATGCAGGTCTAATGTATTAAGCACATAACCTCAAAATGGACTCAAAAATAATGAAACTCAGAGTTGAAATATAACCACTTCCAGTTTAAAGGGCCAAGCAGCTGCTGGAATATTGTCCATATAGGTGATTATGCTAATGAATGCCTATTGCACAACATATGTAAGTTATCAGTTTCTAAATGTTGGAGACCCTGACTGTACATTAATAACATCAAACATTTCTCTGTTCACATTATTGTCAACTGGACTAAAACTGAGCGTTTCACAACCCAAATGTTTAACGTCCTTCAGGTCCAGTGTGTCTGTCACTGCTCTACTCTCCACCGCTCATATATGTCGTTTTGGGAGTTATTGGCAATCAACCAATAATGTTTGTGTGAAAGCTGCTCAGCCGGTTTCTTTCCATTCCAACAGCTGCTTCTCTGGAAACAGTTTAAAGTGAAACTAAAGTTTTCTCCTCACAGTGTCAGCAGATTATCAGGAGGAGGAAAGTGACAACTGGCTGTGAACTGAATGTGTTTTTCCAGTGTTCGTTTAGTGAGAAGCAGATTAATGAGGACTTTGTGGTTGTTGTAGTTTTTACAGAAGATGAAGATGTTTGTGGTGTTTGTGATCCTCGTGCACGGTAAGATAACCTTCCTCCCTCTGATCTGATCATTAGTCCAACATCATGTCTTTAATCTGTATTTCTATCATCTTCACTTCATTAGTCTGTTTAAACTCCAATAAAAACATGAAGAACATATTAAAGGCAGCATATTTTCAATGTTTGTGTAAATCATGATGAATGTAGAAGACTGTACAGTCAGACTGTCTTCAGTTCTGTTCTTCAGGATTATATCTCTGGAGGTTGCTCACATTCTTATAGCTTATATTACCAATAGTATTAATGATCCTAACACACTCATTTAAACACCATGTTGGATCAATACAGTCAGTCTATCAGTTTGTTCTGTTATTGCTCTGATCCTGTTTGTGAGTCCGATCACAAACAGCAGATTGAGGATCCAGAAGCAATAAGATCTGAAATAAGGCTGCTGTGATTGAACCTCTCTGTCTGTGTGACCTCACAGTTTCCCAGCATGCCTCAGCTGTGGAGCTGTATGAGGGGGAGGAGTTTGTCCTGCTGCCCTGTGAGTTTCACACTTTTGACATGGACGACCCCACAGTGGTGTGGAGCCGCTACGATCTCAATCCTCCAACCGTCCACCAGCGTCAGCAGGAAGGTGATGAACTTAAAGACCAAAACCAGCTTTACAGCGGCCGAACATCCATGATGGCTGACGCTCTGGAAACTGGAGACCTCAGCCTCAAGCTGACAAAACTCCACCTCTCTGACAGCGGCACCTACACCTGCACTGTCAGAGCATTAGGAGGACAACGGAGAGTGAGAGAAGTACAGCTGCAGGTCAAAGGTCAGCAACAAACTCTAAAACTCACTGTAGATACAGGTCAGAGGTCAGTACTGTAGATACAGGTCAGAGGTCAGTACTGTAGATACAGGTCAGAGGTCAGGAAGTTATTTTCTTTATGTTTCTCTTTCCCACAGAACGATTTCCATCCTGGGCCAAAGCTCTCCTGGTTCTCCTGGTTCTCGGTCTTATTGTTGGGGGTCTTTTGGTGCATTTTCGGCACTATTTCATGTCAGGTATGTCACTACTACATTACCCATAATGCCAATCGTCTTTACTCTTGTAGTTGTGTGAATGTTGAGGAAGAGGTCTGGGATTATAAGAGAAGGATGGGGCAGTGAACTGCTGGTGTCTGTACAGCTGGTGTTGTGGTTTGTTGTTAGGGTTGCTCTGGGTCAAAGGTCAGTGTCTTTATGATTCATATAATAATAATTCAGTCAGACGACTCGTTTGAAATGTTTATTCCAGCAGTGTAGCAGAGTTAGAGTTTGGCGTCCAGGCTCCAACCTCATCACTCCCTGCAGATATGTTTTTTTAAATTAATATTTTGATAACAACAACAACAACAACAGATACACAGCAACAGAAAAACCAACAACAACAGAACAACACAAACAAGCCAACAAAAAGGGTAAAGGGGGGTGGGGTCGGTACAGTAGTATATCAGTTCTTCACAGCATGGGGATCCTCATGTTTCCTGCAGACAAGATTTAAAAAAGCTCCACAGTTCATCTGGCCTATTATCCTCTACCAGAGTGGAGGCGGCCTGTTCCATCGATAAAACCTCCATGAAGTCCTTGCTCCAGTTCCCCATACTAAAACAGTTTGGCCTACGTTGTTTCCAGTTCATTAAAATGATCCGTTTAGCTGATTGAAAAGCCAGGACAATAATACTTTGTACAGTTTGGGGTTTTGCAGTGTCCATATTCCCACCTAATATACAGGTTATCGGGCAGGGTTTTATATCTATGTTAAGGACACGTGACAAACTTTCAATAACATTCAACCAAAACCTCTAAACAGGAGGGCAGTACCACAGTAAGTGCAATAGTGTACCCTCCACCTCACAGCCATGCCAGCAGGATTTGGATAATGTGTTATCAAATGTATTCAGATTGCAAGGTGTAATTTAAACTCTGTGTAATATCTTTATCTGTATCATTTGAATCTGACACACTTTGACACTTTTGTACAACTTGTAAGTGCTCTACCCCATTGTGGGGGGAAATAAGTACACTCATATCACGTTCCCATTGTAATTTAGTTTGGGAGTTTCTGTCAGGAGCAGCAGAACATAATAATTTATACATTGCTGAGACTGTACCTTTCCTGACAGCAATTCCACTTCATTTGTTTTCTACATCTTTGTTATTCCCTATCTCTTTGGAGAGTAAAGGTTTCATGACAGATTTTATGTGTAGATATGACAGAAATTCTGTATCTGTCAATCCAAATTGTAATTTTAAGTCATTAAACGGGATCATTTTACCATCACTAATTACTTGGCCCTACTAACTTATATTATGCTGTTGCCATATTTTATTCTTAAGAGGTTTACCTTCTGCGGTAAACAAAGGATTATTCCACAGTGGACATGATGGTGGAGAATTTTGACTACATCACATGAGAGCTGTATGGCTGGATTATTAATTCTGGAAATATTTTTGGGATTATACCATAAAACTGTTAAGGTTCTTTGTTATAAGCTTTTTAAAATGTTGTCCTCAAGCCACTCCCAACTGCCGATCTCTCTAACGCTGGCATAGGCCCACTGCAGGGGATATCTAGAGTTAAATGCTAGATAATATTGGTATATATCTGGAAGTCCTAATCCTCCTTTAATTCTTGGGTTGATTCATCTTTTATTATTAATCCTAGGTTTTTTGTCCTTCCAAAGAAAACCAGAGAATAAGTTATTTATTTCCTTAAACCAGCTTGGGGGGGGGATTTAAGCAGTATAGAAGACATGAGAAAAGCCAACCTTGGTAATATGTTCATTTTTATGACTTCTGATCTTCCCCAGAGGGAAAGAGGTAAAACCGTCCACCTTTTAATATCTTCCCTGACTGTTTTAAGAATTTCTGGTGCATTTATATCAACAATTTTGCTAATTGGAGACTGTATTTTAATTCCTAGATATTTCATACCTGGGGGGTCCACTTAAAAGGGGTTGTGCACAAATGTGTTTGTTAAGTGAGATGGTTAAGTGGGATGGCCTCACTCTTACTCAGGGCCAGATTAGCACTTCACTTTACCCTGGGTAACAATATTCAAGGGCCCCATCATCACGACCCCAGGATCACCATAATCTGGCAAAATACAGAATAAATTACAGTAATATACAGTAAATATACTCAATACTTCAATAACTAACTGTCATCAAGTGCATTTTGATGTACAGATGTGCAAATGCTCATAGAACTACAAACGCACCGCTATGTTCTCTTGTCAAGACCACTCACTCACATATGATGTTATGAAAACAAAACACATCAGCATCAGTATAATCTGGCAAAATTGACCCACTACATAGAGAGGGAAGGAAGTGTCCTCCATTTTCACAAAAAAATAAATAAGCAACCACTTTCAAAGCATCCAATATTTATTTAACAACACCTACTCCCAACACAAATGTATTGAACTGATAGAGCCATCACAGAGGAAGTCCACAGACAAGACACAAACAAAAATCCATAATCTCCTAGAATCAAGAAGCATTTTGGTCCTCAGTTGTTATGTGTGTGTGTGTGTGTGTGTGTGTGTGTGTGTGTGTGTGTGTGTGTGTGTGTGTGTTCGTCCAACTTCACAAGTCTTTTCTCTTAGAATGCCAAACTCTGAGTTTATAAACTAATTCAATAATAAAAACTATGAGTGGCCAGAACCAAAACAAAATGTGACTTTGTTTTGGTTCTCGTTCAGTCTGTTGTTCAGTCTGTTGTTCAGGCTGTTGTTCAGTCTTTTGATGCAGGTGCACTGCAGCCATGGTTATAAGTATGAGCAGTAGTGAGGGAGTAGTCATTTTAGAGATGGTGAGGCATTACAGCACACAGGAGGCGCTTGAAATAATCATGGACTCCGAGAGCGAAGATGGCTCCTCATCCTCCTCCTCCTCCGAGTACTCTGATTACTCCACGGAGGAGGCCTCAGAGGTAGAGACAGATGATCTGGTGTTTAGCCCTGACTCATCTGAAGATGAAATTGATGAAGCAGCAGCAAAATGGACTTAAAGAAATGGAAAAATAACTGGTCTCAAACAAACTCTGAGACTTTCCACAACAGCAGAGTTGTGTAAACATATTGGCCTTTAAAGGGTTAAAATACCCAAAATATGATACCTATTTGATATGTATATTTCAAGCTGGAGTAGTTCTAAAAGATTGACTCATTTAAAGTAGAAAAAAATATTGATTTATAAGATTTTTACAGCAGTTTTTGTGAAGGTGGCAGTTTTCTGCCTTAGGAACTGATGTGTGATTTTCTTAAAGGAACCTCTAAGCAATCTGTTAGGATGATTTAACAGAGCTGGGACGTTCACTGGAGTTGAAGGATGCTTCATGTTATTTCCCCACTTTTACAGGATGTAAACAACTACACACATGCAAACAGTGAGAGAATGATACTAATAATAAATAAAGACTGGCACTGGCTTCATACACATCAAAGAATTGATCTCAAAATACTGTTATTGACTTCCAAACACTGAATGGTTCAGGAAATATTTAGTTTGAAGATAAAGTGTAAAATATAATATCACAGAAGCCAAAAGACTAAAAGTTGAAATAAGATGTTTTTGTGTTGAAAGTTCAGATCTTAAAGTGTCAAAGCATACTGGAGCTCCTGTAGCTAATGTGTCCCTGTAGCTAAAAATAACTCCAAATAAGATCAAACTGCTCATTAAGACAAGTGACATTTACTTAAATTCAGTCAAACAGCTTCCATAGTGAGCACTAGATCATCAGTTCACACTCAAAACAAGTCCCACTAGATTTTAAATCTAAATATCAGATTATCTGAGATTTGATATTTGAACATTTAATAGTCTTCCCACATAATCCTTTCCTATCTGACCATTATTTAATAACTTTTGAATTCATCCTATTAGATTATAAGCCATTAGGCAAAACTTCCTACAGCAGATGTCTATCTGACAGTGCTGTAGCTAAATTTAAGGTGGAGATTCCTTCAGTGTTTAATTCAATGCCATGTCTGAATTTAACAGAGTCCTATAACGACTTTAGTCCCTCTGAAATTGATAATCTTGTTGATAGTGCTACAGGCTCACTACGATCAACATTAGACTCTATCGCTCCTATAAAAAGGAAATTATTAAAACATAGGAGACTAGCACCGTGGTATAACCACCAAACCCGCCAGTTAAAACAAATAGCTAGGAAATCTGAAAGGAAATGGCGCTCTTCCAAATTATCAGAATATCGCTCAATTTGGCAAGATAATCTTAAAATTTATAGAAAGGCCCTCCGTAATGCCAGAGGAGCCTATTACTCAGCACTAATAGAAGAAAATAAGAATAACCCTAGGTTCCTCTTCAGCACTGTAGCCAGGCTGACAGAGAGTCACAGCTCTATTGAGCCACATATCCCCATAAACTTAAGTAGCAATGACTTCATGAGCTTCTTCTATAATAAAATTATTACTATTAGAGAAAAAATTAATCACCAACTGCCATCAACAGTTATCAGTGGCTCTCGAAGTTCAGGGACTTCTGACAATGTAAACTTAGATGTATATTTAGACTGTTTTTCTGCTATCGATCTTCATCAGTTAACTTCAATCATTTCTTCATCGAAGCCATCAACCTGTCTATTAGACCCGATCCCAACTAGGCTGCTTAAAGAAGTTGTTCCCTTAATTGGCACTTCTTTACTGGATATGATTAATCTTTCTTTATTATCAGGATATGTACCACAGTCCTTTAAAGTAGCTGTAATTAAACCCCTTCTTAAAAAGTCCACTCTTGACCCAGGGGTTTTAGCCAACTATAGACCGATTTCTAACCTCCCGTTCCTCTCTAAGATTCTGGAGAAAGTAGTCGCCAAAGAGTTGTGTGACTTTCTACATAACAATAGTTTATTTGAGGATTTTCAGTCAGGATTTAGAGTTCATCATAGCACAGAGACAGCTCTGGTTAAAGTTAATAATGACCTTCTGACTGCTTCTGACAATGGACTTGTCTCTGTACTTGTATTATTAGATCTTAGTGCTGCATTTGACACCATTCACCATAATATTCTTTTAGAGAGACTTGAGCATCAAATTGGCATTAAAGGAACCGCACTAAGCTGGTTTAAGTCATATTTATCAGATCGCTCGCAGTTTGTACATGTTAACGATGAATCTTCAATAAATACTACAGTTAGTCATGGAGTTCCACAAGGTTCTGTACTTGGACCAATACTATTTGCTTTATATATGCTCCCTTTAGGCAACATTATTAGGAATCACTCCATTAACTTTCACTGTTATGCAGATGATACGCCGTTATATCTATCAATCAAACCCAATGAAATGAATCAATTATCTAAATTACAAACATGTCTTACGGACATAAAATCCTGGATGACCTGCAATTTTCTGATGTTAAACTCAGAAAAAAACGAAATTCTTGTTCTTGGCCCCAAAAACCTTAGAGACTCATTGTCTAAAGATATAGTCACTCTAGATGGCATTAACTTGGCCTCTAGCACCACTGTCAGGAATCTTGGAGTTATCTTTGATCAGGATTTGTCATTTAACTCCCACATAAAGCAGACCTCTAGGACCGCCTTCTTTCATTTACGTAATATTAGAAAAATTAGACACATCCTATCACAGACAGATGCAGAACAGGAGCCAGAGCCTTCAGTTACCAAGCTCCTCTCCTGTGGAACCAGCTTCCAGTTGTGGTTCGGGAGGCAGACACCCTCTCCACATTCAAGAGTAGGCTTAAGACATTCCTCTTTGATAAAGCTTATAGTTAGGGCTGGATCAGGTGAGTCCTGAACCATCCCTTAGTTATGCTGCTATAGGCCTAGACTATCGGGGGATTTCCCATGGTGCACTGAGCTCCTCCCTTCCTCTCTCTTTCTGCACTCATTCATGTCCCATTAATGCATGTTACTAACTCCACTTCTTCCCCGGAGTTCTTGTGCTTTCTCGTCTCGCAGGTTCTCATGGATCCTGGTGGAGCCTCCTGCCATGGTCCTGCTTGACTGCCATTGCCAATACTGTTGTTGCTGTGCACCTGTCTGTCTGTCTGTCTCTCGCTCTCTCTCTCTCTGCCTCTCTCTCTCTCTCTCTCTCTCTCTCTGCCTCTCTCTCTCTCTCTCTCTCTCTCTCTCTCTCTCTCTCTCTCTGCCTCTCTCTCTCTCTCTCTCTCTCTCTCTCTCTCTCTCTCTCTCTCTCTCTCTCTCTCTCTCTCTCTCTCTCTCTCTCACCCCAACTGGTCGAGACAGACGACCACCCACCTAGAGCCGGAGGATCTGTCCTAGGTTTCTGCCTTTTTCCTTGCCCTTGTCGCCAAGTGCTTGCTCATGGTGGTACTGTTGGGTCTCTGTAATTAATGTTAAAGAGTTCGGTCTAGACCTGCTCTATTTGAAAAGTGTCCTGAGATAACTTCTGTTATGAATTGGCGCTATACAAATAAAATTGAATTGAATTGAATTGAATTATCTGACTGACTTAGAAATAGATTTCCTGCAGTGCAGCTGATGTTGTGGTTTGTTGTCCTCTCAGTCTACCAGGTGGAGGTGGGTTCAGAGGAGGAGTCTGTCCTGCTGCCCTGCAAAACCACAGTTCACCTGCCTGAGGACGTCACAGTGGAGTGGACGGACAGTGACAACAGGAAGGTCCATGTGTATCAGAACGGCTCTGATCAGCCTGAAGAACAGAACCAGTATTACAGAGACCGAACAGAGATGAAGAGAAACCTGCTGGAACCTGGAGACCTCAGTCTGACCCTGAAATACCCCAAATACAGAGACAGAAACACTTTCACCTGCACCGTCTACAGCAGGGAGAGAAAGATCCTGATGGAGAAACAAGTGCTGCTCGAGGTCAAAGGTCAGTGCTGTAGATACAGGTTGAAGGTCAGTGCTGTAGATACAGGTCAAAGGACAGTGCTGTGGATACAGGTCAAAGGTCAGTGCTGTAGATACAGGTCAAAGGTCAGTGCTGTAGACACAGGTCAAAGGTCAGTGCTGTAGGTATATTGTTTCTGGTTCGTGGTAGCTATATTGTTATTAAGCTAGTAGCTATATTGTTATTAAGCTAGCAGCTATATTGTTATTAAGCTAATAGCTATATTGTTATTAAGCTAGTAGCGCTTTCATCAATACACCTGGAGAATGTAGCTCGTAGCATAGCATTAGCTCTCTGTAACGTTAGCTCGTAGCATAGCATTAGCTCTCTGTAACGTTAGCTTGTAATCAGTCAATAAAGTTATTACAAACTGCTGCTGCTGTCTGTACAGCTGATGTTGGGGTTTGTTGTTCTCTCAGTCTGTCAGGTGGAGGTGGAGGAGGGGGCGGAGTCTGTCCAACTGCCCTTCAAGACCACAGCTAACCTGCCTGAGGATGCTGAAGTGGAGTGGGTGAAAGGTAACAGCTACAGTAACAGGAAGGTCCATGTGTATCAGAACGGTTCTGACCAGCCTGAAGAACAGAACCAGGATTACAGAGACCGAACTGAGATGAATGAAGACCTGCTGGAAACTGGAGACCTCAGTCTGACCCTGAAATCCCCCAAAGAGAGAGACACAGGAACATACTGCTGCAGAGTCTACAACAAGGACATCTGGAGAGGGAAAACAGTGCAGCTCACAGTCAGAGGTCAGTACTGTAGATACAGGTCAGAGGTCAGTGCTGTAGATACAGGTCAGAGGTCAGTACTGTAGATACAGGTCAGAGGTCAGTGCTGTAGATACAGGTCAGAGGTCAGTACTGTAGATACAGGTCAGAGGTCAGTACTGTAGATACAGGTCAGAGGTCAGATGTCTCTGTGTCTGTCTGTGTCTGACTGTCCTCTGTCTCCTCTGCAGGGAGAACCAGGAACAGAAGCAGCTCCATTGATCCAACTCCTCTGATGGCTGATCAATCTGTTTGATTGGTCTGTTGATCAATCTTTGATTATTGATCTTGTTGAAGGGGCTCAAAGGAAGAGAATGTCAACGTTCAGCTTTCAGTGTTTCCTCTCTTCATCGTCTGAATGAACCTGCAGTCCATACTGTGATTGATTGATTGATTGATTGATTGATTGATTGATTGGTCTCATGTAGCTCTATAATGTTTCTCTGATGTTTGTGTATTCAGCTTCTATACATATATATCTGGCTGTGTCTCAGGAGGTAGAGCGGGTCGTCCACTGATCAGAAGGTTGCTGGTTCGATCCCCGGCTCCTCCCGCTGCATGTCGAAGTGTCCTTGAGCAAAATACTGAACCCCAAACTGCTCCTGATGCTGAATCACTGTATGAATGAGTGAATGAGTGAATGTGTGAATGAGTGAATGAGTGAATGAGTGAATGTGGCCTGCTGTGGAGACGCTGGTCTCTCTCGTCTCCTCCTCCTGAGTCAGGTTGGCGAGTGGTGATGTATCCTCAGTTCCCACATTACAATCTGTGACAGTAACTTACAATGTGTAACTGAGTCCACTGGGACCAGTTTGCCTTAATCCAATATATATTTTAATCTTTTTGTATTACAGTTCTGCACAAAGGTGCTTTATAAATAAAGTTCTGATTGAATTCAGTCTGCTCTCAATAAAAAGTCTTCTTAGAAATCAATGAACCACTTTGTGTTTTGTCTTCAGACCAGTCAGAGATCCTAGTGAAGCCTGGAGATGATGCTCCTCTTCAGTGTCGGGTTCTGTTGGACTGGATCATCTCTTAATTTATGCCTTAATTATTTATATTTGTGTCCTGCACTGAGCCAAAATACTGTAAAATCACAGGAAATATCTGCCAGCAGCGTGTACAATGTGCAACCTACTGCTTATTTCTAAAGAATACACCTAACTTAAGTTGAAGTTTTTGATTTGATCCCCAGTTATTGTGCTAATATTAAGACTCAGGATTGTTTTATTTGGGATCTATTCTGCCCTCTAAACTTATAAATGTTTTATCTTGTGACAGAATTCAGTGTCGCTCTAACTTAAAGATTATACAACCATAAACTGTTACAATGCACACCCTGTAGCTACGTCATCATTTATGTAACTTCAACTTGTAACTGCAATTTTAACATTTTATAACCGAGATTTGATTGATAATCATTTATTTATAAAACAAGAATCTTATTCTAAGAACAAGTTTCCATAAATGTTACAATTTAAACACATTTAATTGGTTAAACATCTAAAAATAATATTTAAGGATTGTTTTTTTCTTATTACTCTTCAGTTACAAACAATCAGGAATACATAATATGTATTATATATAATATATATGTGATAAATGAGTCTGTAGTTACTGCACTACCTATATATCTGTTTATATCTGTTTATATCTGTTTATATCTGTTTATATCTGTTTATATTGGTTTATGCTAATACAAAGACATTTACATTCTGTATGGTGAGGTAGAAATTACAGACAAAAATATATAAAATACTACACATTATTCATTCAATTAAAATGATTTCTTTATTTATTTTTATTTACTTTTATTAGAGATTAATATCAGGGGCGGTCCTTTATTCTTTTGCACATATTGTTATATTGTTTGTATTATCATTGTTTAAATAAATGTGCAATTCTTTGGAGTTCTTTTCTCGTGGGGATGGGGCGCTATCAGTAAAGCTCGCCTAGGGCACCAAATGGTCTAGGACCGCCCCTGATATTAATGTCTAATAGAAGTAAATAAAAATAAATAGTGAGGAAGAGTTGGACACAGACACAATCTTCAATTTAACATTTAAAAGCCAAATAAAGATTTTACATAAATACAGTTAAAAACTGTATTTATATATATATATAATAATATAATATAAATAAATATAATAATATATCATATTATTATATTATTTACAGTATTTTTTGTGCTCCAGCTGCAGGAATATTACTGTTTTTTTAACTTCTTTAAATGTGATCCTAAAGGCTAAAAAAGGAACTGTAATTGTTATTATTACTATTGTTTGACTCCTCGTGGATGAAGGCTGAAATCAGCTCCTATCAGATATGAATCATAAACACTTTAATGACTAATTGTTTGTACAGTGACAGTGGATGTATTAATGAGGAGGCTTCACCACAGACCAGCAGTAATCTGATTTCTTCTCAAACTTATTCAGCAAAGTAAATGAGTAGAAACACCTCTGGCTGTAAACAAGTGTTGCTCCACTGTTTATGATTTGAATAAACTCAGCTCATTTGAATTCTGTCTGACGGAAATGAAGCATGGAAATCTCCACCACCACTCAGACACTTAAAATTAATCAACTTATTGCACATTAACTGATATCAGCCTCACTCTCCTGCAGTCCTATCAGAGCTACATTCAACGCTTCAACCTTGTTTTCAACCAACTGTTCAGGTTCCCAACCGATTTATTTTTGGTCCAACGCTCCGAACAGTTCCCTGTTGGTGGAAGAGGCCTGTCAGTGCTGTAGTGCAGGTTATACCCACTCCTAAATCCCCCATGATGCTCCTCATTCACTACTGTTCTTTTAGAAGCCATGACGTAGTTCAGTTTTCATGTGGATGTAGTCAGGAATAAGGAATACTTCAGTCAATAAGCATAATGAAGTAGTGGTCTGAGCCTGTAGTCTGTGGGTCAGTATGGATTCTTCTTTTGCTAATGTTCATTTCATAATGATCCTCAGTTAGTGACAATATGCCACAGCAGAAGCTAAAGTCAGGTGGAGAAAGAGCCAATTGAGTCCTGCCTGAGTTGGAACTGATGAACTGTCTGTATTTGCAGCTCTTGGAGCAAATACTGAGACTGCTTCATTATATGTATGTAAGCATTAACATATCTCAATACATTGTGACATCATGAAGAAGATAGTTTGATATCATTATTGTACTAATGAAAAGTGTTTCTGTTACTGACATTAAAATGTTTTTGAAATGAATGAAGGTGAATATTAAAAGCTTGTTTTGCTGAACGCTTCAGTTATTTAATGATTGATAAAGTAGTTCTGTCAGTCTGTCTGTCTGAGGCTGCTTCATGTTGACACAAACCAACAGCTATAACAAATATGAGGAAACTGAACCTCCTCCTGTTTCCTCAGAAGTGATCTGTGGCAGTCGGACTTCATTCCAGAGAGCTGCTTTATCAAACTCTGAACCTGATCCTTCTCTGCCTCCTTTCAGTCCAGTGACTGCTGTCTGTGTCCGGTGGGAAGCCCTTTACTTATTTCAGCTTTTAAAGGTCCAGTGCGTAGGTCGATAAAAACGTCTCATTCTAAGGTAACGAACACACAACCATTCTTATTTTCAGCTGATTAAACACTAATGAAAACAAACCTATGGATATTATATTTCTGACAATAGATCCTCCTCAGTGTTACACATCAATAAAGTGTTTCTGATTCTGATTTACATCCCATAACTTACTGATTTTACCCCAAAAATTACATAACCAAGTGCTCTTGTTGCCTCAACCAAATAGTGTGTTTGCTTTATTGTAAGCCACAGTTTTATGTTATAAATGAACAGTGAGGGTCCCCAGCTTTTACACAATACTGGAGGCTAACTTGCATATGTTTTGCATAATTAGCTAAATGAACCAGAAGTGGATCTGTTTATTCTAAAATGCAGGTCTAATGTATTAAGCACATAACCTCAAAATGGACTCTAAAATAATGAAACTCAGAGTTGAAATATAACCACTTCCAGTTTAAAGGGCCAAGCAGCTGCTGGAATATTGTCCATATAGGTGATTATGCTAATGAATGCTTATTGCACAACATATGTAAGTTAGCAGTTTGTAAATGTTGGAGACCCTGACTGTACATTAATAACATCAAACATTTCTCTGTTCACATTATTGTCAACTGGACTAAAACTGAGCGTTTCACAACCCAAATGTTTAACGTCCTTCAGGTCCAGTGTGTCTGTCACTGCTCTACTCTCCACCGCTCATATATGTCGTTTTGGGAGTTATTGGCAATCAACCAATAATGTTTGTGTGAAAGCTGCTCAGCCGGTTTCTTTCCATTCCAACGGCTGCTTCTCTGGAAACAGTTTAAAGTGAAACTAAAGTTTTCTCCTCACAGTGTCGGCAGATTATCAGGAGGAGGAAAGTGACAACTGGCTGTGAACTGAATGTGTTTTTCAAGTGTTCGTTTAGTGAGAAGCAGATTAATGAGGACTTTGTGGTTGTTGTAGTTTTTACAGGAAGATGAAGATGTTTGTGGTGTTTGTGATCCTCGTGCACGGTAAGATAACCTTCCTCCCTTTGATCTGATCATTAGTCCAACATCATGTCTTTAATCTGTATTTCTATCATCTTCACTTCATTAGTCTGTTTAAACTCCAATAAAAACATGAAGAACATATTAAAGGCAGCATATTTTCAATGTTTGTGTAAATCATGATGAATGTAGAAGACTGTACAGTCAGACTGTCCTCAGTTCTGTTCTTTAGGATTATCCCTGGAGGTTGTTCATATTCTTATAGCTTATATTACCAATAGTATTAATGATCCTAACACACTCATTTAAACACCATGTTGGATCAATACAGTCAGTCTATCAGTTTGTTCTGTTATTGCTCCTGTTTGTGAGTCCGATCACAAACAGGAGCAGATTGATGATCCAGGAGCAATAAGACCTGAAATAGGGCTGATTGAATCTCTCTGTCTGTGTGACCTCACAGTTTCCCAGCATGCCTCAGCTGTGGAGCTGTATGAGGGGGAGGAGTTTGTCCTGCTGCCCTGTGAGTTTCAAACTTTTGAGATGGACAACCCCTCAGTGGTGTGGAGCCGCTACGATCTCAATCCTCCAACCGTCCACCAGCGTCAGCAGGAAGGTGATGAACTTAAAGACCAAAACCAGCTTTACAGCGGCCGAACATCCATGATGGCTGACGCTCTGGAAACTGGAGACCTCAGCCTCAATCTGACAAAACTCCACCTCTCTGACAGCGGCACCTACACCTGCACCGTCAGATCGTTTTGGGGAGAACGGAGAGTGAGAGACATACAGCTGCAGGTCAAAGGTCAGCAACAAACTCTAAAAGTCACTGTAGATACAGGTCAGAGGTCAGTACGGTAGATACAGGTCAGAGGTCAGTACTGTAGATACAGGTCAGAGGTCAGGAAGTTATTTTCTTTATGTTTCTCTTTCCCACAGAACGATTTCCATCCTGGGCCACAGCTCTCCTGGTTCTCCTGGTTCTTGGTCTTATTGTTGGGGGTCTTTTGGTGCATTTTCGGCAGTATTTCATGTCAGGTATGTCACTACTACATTACCCATAATGCCAATCGTCTTTACTCTTGTAGTTGTGTGAATGTTGAGGCAGAGGTCTGGGATTATAAGAGAAGGATGGGGCAGTGAACTGCTGGTGTCTGTACAGCTGATGTTGTGGTTTGTTGTTAGGGTTGCTCTGGGTCAAAGGTCAGGGTCTATATGATTCATATAATAATAATTCAGTCAGACGACTCGTTTGAAATGTTTATTCCAGCAGTGTAGCAGAGTTAGAGTTTGGCGTCCAGGCTCCGACCTCATCACTCCCTGCAGATATGTTTTTTTTTAATTAATATTTTGATAACAACAACAACAACAACAACAACAACACATACACAGCAACAGAAAAACCAACAACAACAGAACAACACAAACAAGCCAACAAAAAGGGTAAAGGGGGGTGGGGTCGGTACAGTAGTATATCAGTTCTTCACAGCATGGGGATCCTCATGTTTCCTGCAGACAAGATTTAAAAAAGCTCCACAGTTCATCCGGCCTATTATCCTCTACCAGAGTGGAGGCGGCCTGTTCCATCGATAAAACCTCCATGAAGTCCTTGCTCCAGTTCTCCATACTAAAACAGTTTGGCCTACGTTGTTTCCAGTTCATTAAAATGATCCGTTTAGCTGATAGAAAAGCCAGGACAATAATTCTTTGTACAGTTTTAGGTTTTGCAGTGTCCATATTCGCACCTAATATACAGGTTATCGGGCAGGGTTTTATATCTATGTTAAGGACACGTGACAAACTTTCAATAACATTCAACCAAAACCTCTTAACAGGAGGGCAGTACCACAGTAAGTGCAATAGTGTACCCTCCACCTCACAGCCATGCCAGCAGGATTTGGATAATGTGTTATCAAATGTATTCAGATTGCAAGGTGTAATTTAAACTCTGTGTAATATCTTTATCTGTATCATTTGTATCTGACACACTTTGACACTTTTGTACAACTTGTAAGTGCTCTACCCCATTGTGGGGGGGAAATAAGTACACTCATATCACGTTCCCATTGTAATTTAGTTTGGGAGTTTCTGTCAGGAGCAGCAGAACATAATAATTTATACATTGCTGAGACTGTACCTTTCCTGACAGCAATTCCACTTCATTTGTTTTCTACATCTTTTTTATTCCCTATCTCTTTGGAGAGTAAAGGTTTCATGACAGATTTTATGTGTAGATATGACAGAAATTCTGTATCTGTCAATCCAAATTGTAATTTTAAGTCATTAAACGGGATCATTTTACCATCACTAATTACTTGGCCCAACTAACTTATATTATGCTGTTGCCATACTTTATTCTTAAGAGGTTTACCTCCTGCGGTAAACAAAGGATTATTCCACAGTGGACATGATGGTGGAGAATTTTGACTACATCACATGAGAGCTGTAAGGCTGGATTATTAATTCTGGAAATATTTTTGGGATTATACCATAAAACTGTTAAAGTTATGCCTTTGTTATAAACTTTGAAAATGTTGTCCTCAAGCCACTCCCAACTGCCGATCTCTCTAACGCTGGCATAGGCCCACTGCAGGGGATATCTAGAGTTAAATGCTATATAATATTGGTATATATCTGGAAGTCCTAATCCTCCTTTAATTCTTGGGTTGATTCATTTTGTATTACTAATCCTAGGTTTTTTGTCCTTCCAAAGAAAACCAGAGAATAACTTATTTATTTCCTTAAACCAGCTGATGTACAGATGTGCAAATGCTCATAGAACTACAAACGCACCGCTATGTTCTCTTGTCAAGACCACTCACTCACATATGATGTTATGAAAACAAAACACATCAGCATCAGTATAATCTGGCAAAATTTACCCACTACATAGAGAGGGAAGGAAGTGTCCTCCATTTTCACAAAAAAATAAATAAGCAACCACTTTCAAAGCATCCAATATTTATTTAACAACACCTACTCCCAACACAAATGTATTGAATTGATAGAGCCATCACAGAGGAAGTCCACAGACAAGACACAAACAAAAATCCATAATCTCCTAGAATCAAGAAGCATTTTGGTCCTCAGTTGTTATGTGTGTGTGTGTGTGTGTGTGTGTGTGTGTGTGTGTGTGTGTGTGTGTGTGTGTGTGTGTGTGTATGTGTGTGTGTGTGTGTGTGTGTGTGTGTGTGTGTGTGTGTCCAACTTCACAAGTCTTTTCTCTTAGAATGCCTAACTCTGCGTTTATAAACTAATTCAATAATAAAAACTATGAGTGGCGAGAACCAGAAGGCATTACAGCACACAGGAGGTGCTTGAAATAATCATGGGCTACAAGAGCGAAGATGGCTCCTCATCCTCCTCCTCCTCCGAGTACTCTGATTACTCCACGGAGGTAGAGACAGATGATCTGGTGTTTAGCCCTGACTCATCTGAAGACTCATCTGAAGATGAAATTGATGAAGCAGCAGCAAAATGGACTTAAAGAAATGGAAAAATAACTGGTCTCAAACAAACTCTGAGACTTTCCACAACAGCAGAGTTGTGTAAACATATTGGCCTTTAAAGGGTTAAAATACCCAAATATAATAAATGTTTGATATGTATATTTCAAGCTGGAGTAGTTCTAAAAGATTGACTCATTTAAAGTAGAAAAAAATATTGATTTATAAGATTTTTACAGCAGTTTTTGTGAAGGTGGCAGTTTTCTGCCTTAGGAACTGATGTGTGATTTTCCTAAAGGAACCCCTAAGCAATCTGTTAGGATGATTTAACAGAGCTGGGACGTTCACTGGAGTTGAAGGATGCTTCATGTTATTTCCCCACTTTTACAGGATGTAAACAACTACACACATGCAAACAGTTAGAGAATGATACTAATAATAAATAAAGACTGGCACTGGCTTCATACACATCAAAGAATTGATCTCAAAATACTGTTATTGACTTCCAAACACTGAATGGTTCAGGAAATATTTAGTTTGAAGATAAAGTGTAAAATATAATATCACAGAAGCCAAAAGACTAAAAGTTGAAATAAGATGTTTTTGTGTTGAAAGTTCAGATCTTAAAGTGTCAAAGCATACTGGAGCTCCTGTAGCTAATGTGTCCCTGTAGCTAAAAATAACTCCAAATAAGATCAAACTGCTCATTAAGACAAGTGACATTTACTTAAATTCAGTCAAACAGCTTCCATAGTGAGCACTAGATCATCAGTTCACACTCAAAACAAGTCCCACTAGATTTTAAATCTAAATATCAGATTATCTGACTGACTTAGAAATAGATTTTCTGCAGTGCAGCTGATGTTGTGGTTTGTTGTCCTCTCAGTCTACCAGGTGGAGGTGGATTCAGGGGTGGAGTCTGTCCTGCTGCCCTGCAAAACCACAGTTCACCTGCCTGAGGACGTCACAGTGGAGTGGACAGACAGATACAACAGGAAGGTCCATTTGTTTCAGAACGGCTCTGATAAGCCTGAAGAACAGAACCAGGATTACAAAGCTCGAACAGAGATGAAGAGAAACCTGCTGGAACCTGGAGACCTCAGTCTGACCCTGAAATACCCCACAGAGAGTGACACTGACACCTTCACCTGCACCGTCTACAGCAGGGAGAGAGAGATCCTGATGAAGAAACAAGTGCTGCTCAAGGTCAAAGGTCAGTGCTGTAGATACAGGTCAAAGGTCAGTGCTGTAGATACAGGTCAAAGGTCAGTGCTGTAGATACAGGTCAAAGGTCAGTCCTGTAGACACAGGTCAAAGGTCAGTGCTGTAGACACAGGTCAAAGGTCAGTGCTGTAGATATATTGTTTCTGGTTCGTAGTAGCTATATTGTTATTAAGCTAGTAGCTATATTGTAATTAAGCTAGTAGCTATATTGTAATTAAGCTAGTAGCTATATTGTTATTAAGCTAGTAGCGCTTCCATCAATACACCTGGAGAATGTAGCTCGTAGCATAGCATTAGCTCTCTGTAACGTTAGCTTGTAATCAGTCAATAAAGTTATTACAAACTGCTGCTGCTGTCTGTACAGCTGATGTTGGGGTTTGTTGTTCTCTCAGTCTGTCAGGTGGAGGTGGAGGAGGGGGCGGAGTCTGTCCAACTGCCCTTCAAGACCACAGCTGACCTGCCTGAGGACGCTAAAGTGGAGTGGAGCTGCTATGAACCCAAATACATGATGGTCCATGTGTCTCAGAACAGTTCTGATCAGCCTGACAAACAGAACCAGGATTACAAAGACCGAACTGAGATGAATAAAGACCTGCTGGAAACTGGAGACCTCAGTCTGACCCTGAAATACCCCAAAGAGAGAGACACAGGAAGATACTACTGCAGAGTCTACAACAAGGGAAACTTCCTGAGAGGGAAAACAGTGGAACTCACAGTCAGAGGTCAGTGCTGTAGATACAGGTCAGAGGTCAGTACTGTAGATACAGGTCAGAGGTCAGTACTGTAGATACAGGTCAGAGGTCAGATGTCTCTGTGTCTGTCTGTGTCTGACTGTCCTCTGTCTCCTCTGCAGAGAGAACCAGGAACAGAAGCAGCTCCATTGATCCAACTCCTCTGATGGCTGATCAATCTGTTTGATTGGTCTGTTGATCAATCTTTGATAATTGATCTTGTTGAAGGGGCTCAAAGGAAGAGAATGTCAACGTTCAGCTTTCAGTGTTTCCTCTCTTCATCGTCTGTATGAACCTGCAGTCCATACTGTGATTGACTGATTGACTGATTGATTGATTGATTGATTGATTGATTAGTCTCATGTAGCTCTATAATGTTTCTCTGATGTTTGTGTATTCAGCTTCTATACATATATATCTGGCTGTGTCTCAGGAGGTAGAGCGGGTCGTCCACTGATCAGAAGGTTACTGGTTCGATCCCCGGCTCCTCCCGCTGCATGTCAAAGTGTCCTTGAGCAAAATACTGAACCCCAAACTGCTCCTGATGCTGAATCACTGTATGAATGTGTGAATGAGTGAATGTGTGAATGAGTGAATGAATGAATGAGTGAATGTGGCCTGCTGTGGAGACGCTGGCCTCACTCGTCTCCTCTCTCCTCCTCCTGAGTCAGGTTGGCGAGTGGTGATGTATCCTCAGTTCCCACATTACAATCTGTGACAATAACTTACAATGTGTAACTGAGTCCACTGGGACCAGTTTGCCTTAATCCAATATATATTTTAATCTTTTTGTATTACAGTTCTGCACAAAGGTGCTTTATAAATAAAGTTCTGATTGAATTCAGTCTGCTCTCAATAAAAAGTCTTCTTAGAAATCAATGAACCACTTTGTGTTTTGTCTTCAGACCAGTCAGAGATCCTAGTGAAGCCTGGAGATGATGCTCCTCTTCAGTGTCGGGTTCTGTTGGACTGGATCATCTCTTAATTTATGCCTTAATTATTTATATTTGTGTCCTGCACTGAGCCAAGATACTGTAAAATCACAGGAAATATCTGCCAGCAGCGTGTACAATGTGCAACCTACTGCTGATTTCTAAAGAATACACCTAACTTAAGTTGAAGTTTTTGATTTGATCCCCAGTTATTGTGCTAATATTAAGACTCAGGATTGTTTTATTTGGGATCTATTCTGCCCTCTAAACTTATAAATGTTTTATCTTGTGACAGAATTCAGTGTCGCTCTAACTTAAAGATTATACAACCATAAACTGTTACAATGCACACCCTGTAACTACGTCATCATTTATGTAACTTCAACTTGTAACAGCAATTTTAATATTTTATAACCGAGATTTGATTGATAATCATTTATTTATAAAACAAGAATCTTATTCTAAGAACAAGTTTCCATAAATGTTACAATTTAAACACATTTAATTGGTTAAACATCTAAAAATTATATTTGAGGATTGCTTTATTCTCAATGCCTCTTCAGATGCAAACAATGAGAAATACAGAATATGTATTATATATAATATATATGTGATAAATGAGTCTGTAGTTACTGCACTACCTATATATCTGTTTATATTTGTTTATATCTGTTTATATTGGTTTATGCTATTACAAAGACATTTACATTCTGTATGGTGAGGTAGAAATTACAGACAAAAATATATAAAATACTACACATTATTCATTCAATTAAAATGGACATTTAACTATATTTTCTATTTTCTATTAAAATTATATCAATATTAAATTCAAAATTAAACAAGGTTGAATGTCCCACACTTAAAAGGCATTTTTAATAAATCATAAATCATTTATTCTTTATATTGCTCTTGGTGTCAATCAACAATAAAAATAAATGTGTTTTTATTTCTCTAATTTCTGCCAGAGACACAAAAACGTTTTTTCACTTTTATTTTGAAAATCCGTAAAGAAGGCGGTATCAAACCCCAAACTGCTCCTGATGCTGAATCACTGTATGAATGAGTGAATGTGTGAATGTGTGAATGTATGAATGGGTGAATGAGTGAATGAGTAAATGAATGAATGAGTGAATGAATGAATGAGTGAATGAGTGAATGAGTGAATGAGTGAATGTATGAATGAGTGAATGAGTGAATGAATGAATGAGTGAATGTGTGAATGAGTGAATGAATGAATGAGTGAATGAATGAATGAATGAGTGAATGTGTGAATGAGTGAATGAGTGAATGTGTGAATGAGTGAATGAGTGAATGTATGAATGAGTTAATGAATGAATGAGTGAATGAATGAATGAATGAATGAGTGAATGTGTGAATGAGTGAATGAGTGAATGTGTGAATGAGTGAATGTGTGAATGAGTGAATGAGTGAATGTGTGAATGAGTGAATGAGTGAATGGGTGAATGTGGCTGTAGTGTAAATGGCTTTGAGTGGTCAGAACACTAGACAGACACTAAGTTCAGTCACTTTCTCTGATTGAATGAAGTTATTGTTTGAGTGTCAGTCAGCTGAACTGTTCTCATGTGTTTGAATCCATAAAGTGTTGTGAGCAGATGAGTTATGGATTCGATCATTTCACACTCTGTTTAGAGAATGATGAATATTGAGGAGAACAACTGTAAATAAAGCTCAAATGTACAGAAATCATTTCTCCACTCTCACAGCATCATGAAAATGGATCTAAAGCTGTGAGAATGATGGATTCAGGAGGCATCAAAACTTTGATTACAGCGCCCCCATGTGGCAGAGCGGGAGCAGATTTCTCTTATTGTATCTACGTGTGATGATGGAGGCCATGTGTCTCAGATTGATGATTTCCTTTAATAACATAATGAGTGTAAACTGTGTCTGTAGTGACAGCGTCCATAAAGCGTTATCAGCAGTGAAATATCTGCAGCTTCCACAATCTAATATTGATTCTCACTAATTACAGTTGCTCAATCACATCAACTGTTAGTTGCCGCCTGTACGGCCTGTTGCTCTGCTCCATGGGGACGGCACACTCGTCACACTCCAGGAACTGTCTGAGTTGATTCTGGCGCCCCCTGTGGACAACAGCTGTAGTGTTTCTACTGCCTGGTTTCATTGATTTCAAGGGGAATCCGACCCGGTGGCAGACATTAACAATAACTATATAGAAATATCCAATCTTCTCTCTGATTGTTTATGTACAATAACTCACTGTAGGACATTTAAAGTAGTAACTCTATGATTCAACAGGTGAAGGTCCCATTGCGTCAAGCCCCGCCCCCTTTTAAGTGAAAGCACTGCCTCTAACTTGACTGGTGGTAAATGTAAATTCTGAGCTCGTAAAATAACATTACTGTATTGTTTGTATCTATTAGGAGCATAAATCCTATATCCAGCAAACAATGCTGTTGTGTTGTTGTTCTATATAAAATACACAAATAGTTATTGATGAGTGTCCTGACATATACAGCGACCTTATTCAATCTCATATTTCTGCGGTCTGTCACTGTTTCTGTGCTTCACACTCTTTATTAACTGTTTGTGTCCAATGTGACGTTACTGTAAACTAATTCCAGGGTTTGTGTTTATTAATCCACCTTTTACTACGAGACCACAGAAGAAGAAAACAGGAGGGTTTATCTCCACTTCCTGTTACTCTCTGCTGTTTCCAAGGTTCATTATTAGAAGGTTGGTCAGCACAGTTTATGGGAATTATTAAGGTTCAAATCCCCTCTGCTCCACACTGTCACACCAAACTCCATTCAAAAAACGGCTGTTTTAAGGAAGTAAAACCTTTATTTCCACCATCAGTGAGACTCTGATTCTCTTCAGTCTACAGACACAATCTGCTCACATTGACTCAGTAACATCATTAACTAACCTGTGAGGAAGAGTTGGACACAGACACACTCACTGACTGTCTGTCTGTCATTAACTAACCTGTGAGGAAGAGTTGGACACAGACACACTCACTGACTGTCTGTCATTAACTAACCTGGGAGGAAGAGTTGGACACAGACACACTCACTGACTGTCTGTCATTAACTAACCTGTGAGGAAGAGTTGGACACAGACACACTCACTGACTGTCTGTCATTAACTAACCTGTGAGTTACTTGACATTGTAGTGCAAACTATTAGAATTCTAGATATCTAGCAATAAAAGTGCACAGCGACGCCCTCTGCTGGTTGAAAGCTGCTTTTACAGTTGAATAGAAAAAGCTGTGAATGGCTTTGTTCACTTTTTCAGTCCAAACATTTGAGGAAACGTTGCTCGTTGTGTTGAAAACAGGAAGTGGGACAGTTTGCTCTTCCTGTGAATGTCTCTTATTTTGATGTTGTCCAGGTTTTATTGTCAGCGTGTCCTTGCTCAATCAGTTTATATTGTTAGAAGAATACAGAACCAATATTCCTACTAGAGACTGTATTCTACTGGATGGGTTACAGCAGTGTAGTTAACATGTGCTGCCAGCATTATTGTGTGTGTTTGGGTGGCTGGTTGACTTTATTTGAGTCTGTTGGTTAGTGAGTTGCTGTTGTTCACATTTTAAAGCTAAAGCTTGCTATTGCTTTTTTCTCCTTCCTTCTCCTCAGGCCCACATCTCTGTGCTACCCCAGAATTTAGAGCCAGAGTTAATAAGAGGGTCTCAAACCAGTTTACTACATCCTGGCTCCTCCTTTACTCACTGTACCTCGAAGGCCTTGGTCACACTACAGGACTTTCAGAGCGCTCAGATCTCTGTACAGTTATCTCTGTACTGTATGTACTAAAACTATATAGTATTGATTTGACCTCTGAAGTAGAGCAGTGAGATTCTACGGTACATCCATGTCATTGTGTGTTGAAATCCACACAGTTCTCGTGGATGCTGATCCTAACAGCAAACTAACCTGAGTAGTCTGTCTAGTTAGTCTGTTTTAAGGCTCTATAATGTGACATTTGTATAACATATAAAACGTGTCTAAAGTGCCCTCTACAGTGGTGAGGAAGCGCTATATGTGCCCTTTTATTTCTTTCCGCCCCTGCCCTTCAAAAAGTCTGTGCACGCCACTGCACACACACACACACACACACACACAGTTTATGAGAGTTTATGGGCTGTCTTGTTCTAGTTCTGCCTGCAGAGCCTGGTAAAAAAGTATAAAGGTTTGGAAATTTGTGTTACTTATTTATTTTATATTTATTATTATTTTATTTATTTTATTTTTTTAAGTACTTGAATTTACCTGGATTATTTTAATTTAAGCTATTTTGTAATTAATTAATTTATTTTAATTTATTTTATTGATTGGATGAATTATAATTTGCCCAAAGACGATTATTTTGTATTTTTTTCTGATTGAATGCTTGTGTTTAAAAATAAATCAGACATTACTCAACAGTTACTCAGTACTTTAGTAGTTTTTCCACCAAGCACTTTTTTTTTACTCTTACTCAAGTAATTATTTGGATGACTACTTTTTACTTTTACTTGAGTCATATTATTCTGAAGTAACAGTACTTTTACTTGAGTACAATTTTTGGCTACTCTACCCACCTCTGGTTATTAAGAAGGCCAAGGTACTGTTATCTGTGTATGTTTAGGTTCAGTTGGAGAACAGATCTAGTTGGTATCACTTATTCTCTACGTTGTAAAGAAAACTATAAAGTGGCCTGAGCCCCATGAAGTCTAGGAGTTTGATATAGAGTATAGCAGAAGAGAGAGAGGAGGTGCTCTGGAAACTCCACAGGTTGGAGCTCTTGGGATGGGAAAGGGAATATGTTGGGTTCTATGTGTTATGCTTTTGTTGTCTTGTCAGTGTGTTTGTATTGTGGTTCACATCATCACCTTCCCTCTGAGCTTCTATTAGTCATAAAAAAGACTGTGTAGGCCAGGTGTATTCTCCATCTTACTCCACTGGAAGTAGAGGCGTGGCTCTTCTCATTAGGAAACAGTTAGTTGTTCCCATTGAGACAGTCTGACCCAAACGGATGCTATGTGTTGATCCAAGATTATTTACAGAGAGAAAATATTGTTATATTGAATATATATATATGCCCCCCCCAAACTGTCCAAATACAGTGTTTATCAGTGTAAACAGCAATAATTACTGTAATTTCACAGATAATGACTTTTATTACAGTTCTATAACTTTTAACATCCAAACCAAAATTTTAAATAAATAAATTAAATAGCACTCTTGTAAAATAATTTGTTTTATAGCAGTGTTCATCTGTATTTATAGCTCATTGCATTGTTTTTACATGTAATATTTATGTAAAATTCAATCTAAAAACTGTATTTTAATTACAGACTGTGTTTTTAAGAGTCTGAACCATCTTGAGGAGGTGTTTCAGGCCCTCGGTGGTTATGGACTCAAGCTTCAGAAGGAAGTTCCTGGGACACAAAGTCAGCAGCCGAGGAGTCGCTCCTGACCCAGAGAAAGTGACAGCTGTATAAAACTGGTTGGAGAGGTCAAATAATTGATTTTTAAACAATGCAAATGACTTAGAGAATACATATTTAATAAGCACAGAACTGCAGTTCTACCTAAAACATTCGACTGGACAGGTAAAAACAATGGATGCTTTCAGTTTCATTTTGTCTCAGTAGTTACCACAATCAGCCTCTAGAGGGCAGTATAGGGGTCGCATGTGGAACAGCAGACTTTAAACCTGTAACTATAAAGCTAAAACTCAAAGCTACAAGCAGCAATGGTCGGACCCTCGCTGCCCACACACATCAGGGTTTGCTGCACCAGTGTATCATGTGTGGACCACACCATGAACATCTCATGTAAATCAGATCAAGATCACCACACAAAGCTTACTTCCTGTTTAGTATGTGGCACTATGAGTATCACTCAATATGTGCATGTGTGTATGTGTGTTCAGGGTGGGATTCTTATCAAACATTGACAGTTTCACTGAGGTTAGACAACTCCCTGTTTCTTGGCAATACGTCAAAGTTCAACACCACGGACCCGCCGTTTAACGTCCTTCAGGTCCAGTGTGTCTGTCACTGCTCTACTCTCCACCGCTCATATATGTCGTTTTGGGAGTTATTGGCAATCAACCAATAATGTTTGTGTGAAAGCTGCTCAGTCGATTTCTTTCCATTCCAACGGCTGCTTCTCTGGAAACAGTTTAAAGTGAAACTAAAGTTTTCTCCTCACAGTGTCGGCAGATTATCAGGAGGAGGAAAGTGACAACTGGCTGTGAACTGAATGTGTTTTTCAAGTGTTCGTTTAGTGAGAAGCAGATTAATGAGGACTTTGTGGTTGTTGTAGTTTTTACAGAAGATGAAGATGTTTGTGGTGTTTGTGATCCTCGTGCACGGTAAGATAACCTTCCCCCCTCTGATCTGATCATTAGTCCAACTTCATGTCTTTAATCTGTATTACTTTCATCTTCACTTCATTAGTCTGTTTAAACTCCAATAAAAACATGAAGAACATATTAAAGGCAGCATATTTTCAATGTTTGTGTAAATCATGATGAATGTAGAAGACTGTACAGTCAGACTGTCCTCAGTTCTGTTCTTCAGGATTATATCTCTGGAGGTTGTTCACATTCTTATAGCTTATATTACCAATAGTATTAATGATCCTAACACACTCATTGAACACCATCAAATCAAATCAAATCAAATTATATCAAGTTTATTTGTATAGCCCTTTACAATAGCCGAAAGGTACCCAAAGTGCTTTACAACAAAGCCATGAAACAATACATAACACGTATATAATATACAAATACAATTTAAAGTGCTGTAGTGCTGCAGCACTGCAGGGTATTAAAAGCCTTCCAGAAATGCACAGAAAGGAGCAGATAAAAAGAGTACACCTAAGAGATAGTACTGTCCTAGTCAGAATTAAATGCTAATCTAAAAAGTGGGTCTTAAGCTGCGATTTAAAAAGGCCGAGATCAGTAGTGGTGCGAATGTCAGGGGGCATTGTTTGTTCCACAGTCTAGGAGCAGCGACGGTCCACTGTTTAAGTCTGGACCTAAGGACCTCTAACAGAAGCTGACCCGAAGAGCGCAAGGCTCTGCCACAATTGCGAAAAGTTAAAATCTCTGACAAGTAAGAGGGGGCCAAGCCATTAATGGTGTTAAAAACAAACAACAAAAGTTTAAAATCAATTCTAAAACGGACTGGAAGCCAGTGGAGTGACGACAGCACAGGGGTAATGTGTTCGCATCTGGACGTGCTAGTTAAAAATCGGGAAGCAGCGTTCTGCACAAGTTGGAGATGATAAATTGAGGACTGACTGAGGCCGACGTAAAGGGCATTACAGTAGTCCAGCCTTGAGCTGAGGAAAGCATGGATTGCCTTCTCAAGATCCTGCCGACAGAGAAAAGACTTTGGCCAAAAGACGGAGCTGAAAAAAGCTCGTACTGACAACAGAGCTAATCTGTTTGTCAAATTTGAGCCCAGTATCAAATGTTACCCCAAGATTTTTGACATGTGATTTAAAAAGAGGGGCCAGGGTGCCAGAATTTGTGGTGAGAACATTCAACATAGCTGGTGAACCAAACAAAATGCATTCAGTTTTGCTGTCATTTAAGTACAAAAAGTTCTGTGACAGCCACTGTTTTATATCTGTGATGCAGTCCAGCAGCTTAGTAAGTGCAGTGTTTTCGTTTGGTGTCATGGGCAAATATATCTGCAAGTCATCGGCATAAAAGTGAAAAGACAGGTTGTGTTTTTTTATAATTGATCCCAGAGGTAGCATATACAATGAAAACAGAATAGGGTCGAGAATAGATCCCTGTGGCACCCCACAGGGCAGCGATGCATTTGAGGAGCAGTGGTCACCAATCAAGACAGAGAAACTCTTGTTTGCCAGGTATGACCTAAACCACTGGAGAGTGGTGCCACGGATGCCAACGTGCTGCTCTAGGCGAGATACAAGGACTGCATGGTCAACTGTATCAAAGGCTGCCGTGAGGTCCAGCAGCACCAGCACAGCAGGATTCCCAGCATCCACAGACAAGGCAATATCATTGTGCACCTTTAACAGTGCTGACTCGGTGCTATGTCGGGATCTAAAACCAGACTGAAATTTATCAAGAATAGAATTGATCTCCAAAAATGTCTGTAATTGAATAAAAACAACTTTTT